CGTCTACGCCAGATAACGTCCTTGACCTTGCAACAGAACTTGAGAGAATCTGGCGTGACATCCCACAAGCCTTCCTTGCACGTTTGATAGGCTCTATGCGTCGTCGATGCACTGCTGTTCTCAATGCCGATGGTGGACATACCCGTTCTTGAGCTTGAGCATGGTCGTTTGACCCCTGTCCCGCTTGTGGACTCGTGACGTCATTGTGATTGACTTTTCAACTGAAATTCTCCCGACTTGCAAGGTCTCATAATCCCTCCATTAAAGTTTATATGTACCTTTGACATTGTTATCGTAATTATCAACTGGGATAATCTTTTGACAATGCATAGTTTCTTTATGTGGCTAGTATATTTTAAAAACTTAAGACTGTCAAAACAAAATGATATGATATCCAGATAATCAATACAGTTGTGCATTTAATGGCTTAACGTATTTGGTTTGAACGATAATACCAAAGATTAATACGTGATTGGCCACAACGATCTTCATTTCGCCCTTGTATCAAGCTATCCCAGTAAAATGATCCAAATCAGTGTACACGCATTTCAACTTCAACTTCAACACGCACACTATACACACACACACACACACACACACACACACACACACACACACACACACACACACACACACACACACACACACAGAGACACACAGACACACAGACACACACACAAAATCAACTAAGTCTGGTGTCATGTCAAACATGTCAACCCTGACCAAGCGCGCCAAGAACAGCAGCTCCAGCAACCGTGACCTAGAACATGGGCTTCCTCACCTGCAGTATGCCTGTAATGCTCAGAGCATTCAGTGGTTTGACTATGGTACTTTTTCGGCATGGCTTGCATTATGAAACTGCCATCAGTCCAAACATCGCTTTCAATGGCGGTGAGGGAGACTAGTGGCTGAAGGGTTGGCTCGCAACATCGAAGACCCGGGTTCGATTCCCCACATGGGTACAATGAGTGAAGCCCATTTCTGATGTCCTCAGGCGTGATATTGCTGGAATATTGCTAAGTGGCGAAGTATTGTCATTGCATTTGGAACATTCGCACATGCATCTCTGTAACTGGTCCGGTCAGCAATGGTATGAAGCTGTAAAGTTTTGTAATGTGAAGTTCAGGTGACATGCAGCTTTCACGAGGACGAGAGGTCGGTCGCATGAGGAAACACTCACGGATAAGTGGTATAATACATAGGTGTACATGTATTGGGAGAGAAAAAACTCACGAATAACTGGTATAATACTTAGGTGTACACGTGTTGGAAGAGGAAACACTCACGGGTAACTGGTATAATACTTAGGTGTACATGTGTTGGAAGAGGAAACACTCACAGATAACTGGTATAATACATAGGTGTACATGTGATGGAAGAGGAAACACTCACGGAGAACTGGTATAATACATAGCTGTGCACGTGTTGGAAGAGGATACACTCACGAATAACTGGTATAATACATAGCTGCGCACGTGTTGGAAGAGGAAACACTCACACATAACTGGTATAGTACATAGGTGTACATGTGTTGGAAGAGGAAACACTCACAGATAGCAGGTATAATACATAGCTGTGCACGTGTTGGAAGAGGAAACACTCACGAATAACTGGTATAGTACATTGGTGTACACGTGTTGGAAGAGGAAACACTCACAGATAGCAGGTATAATACATAGCTGTGCACGTGTTGGAAGAGGAAACACTCACGAATAACTGGTATAGTACATAGGTGTACACGTGTTGGAAGAGGAAACACTCACGGATAACTGGTATAATACATAGGTGTACATGTGATGGAAGAGGAAACACTCACGGAGAACTGGTATAATACATAGCTGTGCACGTGTTGGAAGAGGATACACTCACGAATAACTGGTATAATACATAGCTGCGCACGTGTTGGAAGAGGAAACACTCACACATAACTGGTATAGTACATAGGTGTACATGTGTTGGAAGAGGAAACACTCACAGATAGCAGGTATAATACATAGCTGTGCACGTGTTGGAAGAGGAAACACTCACGAATAACTGGTATAGTACATTGGTGTACACGTGTTGGAAGAGGAAACACTCACAGATAGCAGGTATAATACATAGCTGTGCACGTGTTGGAAGAGGAAACACTCACGAATAACTGGTATAGTACATAGGTGTACACGTGTTGGAAGAGGAAACACTCACGGATAACTGGTATAATACATAGGTGTACATGTGATGGAAGAGGAAACACTCACGGATAAGTGGTATAGTACATTGGTGTACACGTGTTCGAAGTGGAAACACTCACAGGTAACTGGTATAGTACATAGATGTACACGTGTTGGAAGAGGAAACACTCACGGATACCTGGTATAATACATAGGTGTACACGTGTTGGAAGAGGAAACACTCACAGATAACTGGTATAAAACATAGGTGTACACGTGTTGGAAGAGGAAACACTCACAGATAACTGGTATAATACATAGGTGTACACGTGTTGGAAGAGGAAACACTCACAGATAACTGGTATAATACATAGGTGTGCTCGTGTTGGAAGAGGAAACACTCACGGATACCTGGTATAATACATAGGTGTACACGTGTTCGAAGAGGAAACACTCACAGATACCTGGTAAAATACATAGGTGTAAATGTGTTGGAGTGAGTGAGTGAGTTTAGTTTTACGCCACACTCAGCAATATTCCAGCTATATGGCGGCGGTCTGTAAATAATCGAGTCTGGACCAGACAATCCAGTGATCAACAGCATGAGCATCGATCTGCGCAACTGGGAACCGATGACAGGTGTCAACCAAGTCAGCGAAACTGACCACCCGATCCCGTTAGTCGCCTCTTACGACAAGATAGTCGCTTTTTATGGCAAGCACATGGGTTGCTGAAGACCTATTCTACCCCGGATCTTCACAGGTCAAATGTGTTGGAAGAGGGCACACTTACGGATACCTGGTGTATATAATACATAGGTGTACACATGTTCTAAGAGGAAACACTTAGGGATACCTGGCATAATACATAGGTGTAAGTGTGTTCTAAGAGGAAACACTCACAGATACCTGATATAGTACATAGGTGTACACGTGTTGGAAGAGGAAACCCTTACGGATACCTGGTATAGTACATATGTGTGCACGTGTTCGAAGAGGAAACACTTACGTTTACCTGGTATAGTACATAGATGTATACATAGCGTATTTTTGTCATTTTTATGGTTTCAAACCGAAACCGGTTTCATAAAGAGGTTGCGGAAGAATGTAGTTCTGTAGTACACTTTTGCATGACGTCCCACTGTAATGACGTCACTACGCCTTGCTCGTCTGCCCTCTTGGTAACCGACGTCACGATGAATGTCAGTTGTCATCGCTTCGTGCAGCCTGCTACATTAAACTACTCCGTAGCACTCCGTCTCTTAGTTTGCAGTTGCTTCACTCGGCTAACATCACTAGTGGAAACTTTGCGTTTATGTTTTTCGACGCATATAATGCCTCAGTTCGAGTCAAAATTAAACAGCGTCACAATGCATACAAGTTTTAGAATGAATGAATTCACGTGTTTGTTATGAATGAAAAAGTAATTCCGTCACAACGTGACCTAATTGAGAGGTCATCGGTTATCCAATCAAATCGTTAGAATCTCAGGTCAAGTCGTTACGACACAGGTCAGCGCGACACGACACTCGTGTGACGTACGAGATTAGTATGCAACTATCCATACGTTGACCACGTGGGTAACAAATAGGTGTACACGTGTTGGAAGAGGAAACACTTACGGATACCTGGTATAATACATAGGTGTACACGCGTTCGAAGAGGAAACACTCACAGATACCTGGTATAGTACATAGGTGTACACGCATTCGAAGAGGAAACACTAACAAATACCTGGTATAGTACATAGGTGTACACACGTTCGAAGAGGAAACACTTACGGATACCTGGTATAGTACATTGGTGTACGCACGTTCGAAGAGGAAGCCCTTACGGATACCTGGTATAGTACATTAGTGTACACGTGCTCGAAGAGGAAACACTCACGGATACTTGGTATAATACATAGGTGTGCACGTGTTCGAAGAGGAAACCCTTACGGATACCTGGTATAGTACATAGGTGTGCACGTGTTCGAAGAGGAAATACTTATGGATACCTGGTATAGTACATAGATGTATACATGTTCGAAGGGGACACACTCACAAATACCTGGTATGAAGCTGAGAGTGGTTCATAAACGCTCAGATAATCTTTTTATAGACTGTTATTAGTCGAGATTCCTTTTGACTTTTGAAAGGTGTTTTAGGCCTTTGCTTACAATATTAATTCATTTGAGGTCATCAAATGGCATCTCCAAAGACGTACTCGTGTGCTCCAATATACAACAAGCGTAACCAGCAATGTTGAATATTACTTATGGAATCAGGCTTTGAACCAAGTCACGCTTTCAGTGATATGAAAACAAGGAAAAATAGAGTCGTTGATGCAATGAAATTTATTTCTTTGCATCCAAACAATTCATGCACATAGCAAAAGGAGAGGCATTCAGTATTTTAGTTTATCAATATCAGAAACTGAGATGAGTATCGCCCACTTGATTTCTTTCCCGTTTAAGGATCCGTTGGTGAGCATTTTATGGTGACAGTACCGAGATAATTCGAGGGTTGCCATATGGTGCACGATCTGTCTTGCGATGGGATGCCTCTGTTGAGCTATGGCGCGGGGGGGAGTTCTAAGTGTTCTAAAATAGAAATATGTCATTAAAGCTTGCGAATGCTTCACAACTAAAAGCAACAGCTGAATACATATATATTCTTGAGGCATCTTAAACAGAACCTAAACCTGCAAATACTGTTGGCCTTTTCTCTTGGAGTTGCCATGCTAATGACATGTAACCGTCGACGTTCATGGGACCTAAGTACATCCTTTGATATATACGCATAACTATGACTAAATATTGAATAAACGTGAACCAACCTCATATGTCGAGACAAGTCTATGTTCGACATAACGGTGTTTGATCGTACAGGACTTTTTGAACGGGAAAACATCTCTATGAACATATCTGTCATACCCTCTTTCAAACGTGAAACAAAATTCGTGGACGTTTACATTGGTAAACGACAGTGTACTGTGCGAACTCACAAGGATATTTACGGTGAATGTACATTTGGCGGTGTTCATTTCCTCATCTGTTGCCTCCAAGGTCACCACAGTAACTCCTCTGTGAAATACACTCCCTGATGGGGGGCTTCCCAAGACGCTGACGTTGGACTCGCCGCTAATGGACGGACTTTCCCAAGAGACTTCCTTCGCCTCTTGCCCATTCTTGAGAACGTATGCTATGTCATCGGGACATTCGATTGTGAATTTTGGTGCAGCTGGTTCTACAATATAGACATGAATCATATTTTGGGGCAACATACTGAAATACCCTACCCTTATTTTGGAAGCATCTTTGACAAGGTCATTATATTTCATAGTGGTTTGTTAAATCGGGCTACCTTATAATGTGACAGTAGTAGCTTAAATCTTTGTTTATATTCAAATGTCAGTTTGAAATTTCGATATCTGTCTCGTTTCTTACAAACCGAAACTTAAACCAATTCAATCAATAACCTACTTTTCAGCCGATCGGAATTTTCTCGTGTGAAGTGAAAAGAGACACTACAAGCAACTATGGTTACACTAAATTCCAATTTCTCGTTACATAAGAAAACAGTATTTACAAATTAATGTTGATTTTAAAGTTTAAAAAAACCGTATTTCTATATTTTATGTCGAGGTTTAGAGAGCATGTTGTTAACAAAGACGTCACAGACTGCCCCTGTTTGAGAAGGTCGTACAATGATTCACAATTCATCAGGCTCATTGGTTATACCTGTATTGTGTTTTTTGCGCTTATTATAAGTGTATTTGTGTAATGTACAATGTGATTGATGTCATATCAAGTCCGTACCAGATCGCCAAACTTTTCTAGCTGCCATACCATGCCTGGAATTGAGATTCCCACGATTTCCAGAGAGCGCGCTGTACCGACAGAGCACGCTCCACCACGTGTTTGCAAGGATTAGAAGGAGCGTAGTGTTACAATATACACGTGATTAGATGTACCAAATAATACTGATTAATACTTATATATCCAGTTCTGGACTGATTATTATTGCATTAGACTGCAGAGTAGGGCGGAACTGAGTCAGCAGGAAATGAGACTGCTGTGTAATCAATGTTTTGACTTGAAACACATTTTCGTAATTTTGTTGATCTCTCTCTCTCTCTCTCGATACGGATATTAAATGGCTCACACGAAGGTGCACAGCTATATATAAAACGAATGTATTGATGGTTTTATTATCTACTAGATAGTAATTAAGAATATACTACGGTCTACGAACATTTTCTCTGTGGTATAAATGTTAGTGAACATGAAACGTTGTCTTGAGTCGATGCAAATAAAATCGACAAAACTCTTTCCACATTCATACAGCACACATGTCAAACCTACTCTTGATCCAAAACCCCTACGACAAACGTGGAGTTCCGGCGAGTTCCTGGCCTGCACTCTGTTCCCTCGAGTGCTAAGTAAACCGGATCACCTTCAAGTAAAGGGACAAGTCTGACATTCCCCTGGCACCGCTTATCCGCTTCGGACGTGTCAACCACCAGTATCTGACAGCCTTTGGTACACTGAAATATGGACAAAGAAGAGACTGTACAAACTGACTTCTGTCCATTATATGGTAGACGAGCGGAGGACATTTTGTGACAAAATTTGATACATCAGTTACAGAAAGTCGCGTCCTATGCAGTTCCCAATATCCATTTGTACCATCTGTTCTCATGTTTTTAATGGGAACAATTGCAATTGCCAGTTATATACGATACCAGTTATATACGATACCAGTTATATACGATACAACAGACGAAATACCACATAGATAATATCGAAGCAATAACATAAATAGGGACAAATCTGAACTCACCATATAAAAACTTTGAATACATGACTGATATTATATATAATGTTTATATATAGCTGGCTAACCTAGTGGTTAAAGCGTTGGCTCGTCACGCCGAAGACCTGGGTTCTGTTCCCACATGGGTACAACGTGTGAAGCGCAATTCTGGTTTCCCGTGCAGTGATATTGCTGGAATATTGCTGAAAACGGCATAAAACCATACTCACTGACTATATACATATAAATATATTTATTTAGATACCTGAAAGAAAGTTTATTTTCAGTTTGTAAGCCATCGGCCCAAGTGCAAAAGGCAACACAAATGATAATACAGTGGATAATGGCAATAGGCAGACATTTCAGTTGTCAGTCTACAGAAGATCGACATTTAAGAGCTGATCTGATAAATCTTACACATCTTACAAATTACATCAAAGTTCATAGTTTCCTTCCATCTAATATATTTCTATTGTAATGGTAATGCATTAATGAATATTAACAAACATTATATAATCTTAAGTCTCTAACATTAAGTATTAAAATGTGATTATCAAGGGGCAATGATGATATAATACTTTTAAAATGTACAAGACTGGATGAATTCATGATATTGCTACTTATAATTTGTTTTGAACAATTAATTAACCTCTGCTTAAATAATGATACAAATGATGCCACGTTTCAAATGTCTTGGGAAAGCCAAACATAACCAAATCCATACTCATTTAACAGCTTAGTCATACGTATTTTTGAAACCCAAGCAATCCTACCAACAGAAGTCTATAATTATAACTTTGTTAAGGATAACGATCATTAGACATTCTTAATAGTTTACACAAAATGTAAGTGTAGTTTAAGATGATAATCTGCGTTCATACTAAATCTTCCACATTCAGCTAAAGCTGCATTACTTGATATGTGTTTTCCAACCCCTAAAACAAATTTACAAAAATTATAATGAAATTTATCAACAACACTACTTTCGTGAACTCCTCACACCTTTGACCCCTGCAGCGATAGTGGTCTTATTTTACAATAAAAAGTTTAAATAACACATGAACAGGAATATTTGTAAGATTATGATGTAATTGTTTTATAACTAATAAAGCTTTTCTGACATTTGCCACACGCGTCTTAGTACAAACACTCCAAGACCACCAAGTAGAAAACATGATACCAAGATAATTATAATATGTTTCTGTTTAGTTGTATGCCATCGAAAACAAAATTTTCCATGATTACGAAGGTAACCCCCATTTCGAAATGCTAAAATCTATGTCCTATCCATATTAACTTGTATCCCTCAAGACTTACAAAACTTACACAACATGTCGATTGTTCGTTGCAGCCCAACCACACTATCATAAAAAATACATAAATCATCAGCATACAATAATAATAACAACTCAAAATATTCTTCACTGATAAATATACCTTTAAATCAGAATCATCCATCATAGATTGAAATTCTGAGATAAACATTGAAAATATAAATGGACTAAGGACACATCATTGTCTTACTCCACTAAAGCAATCAAATACGCTGTTATCAAAGTGCCAGATATTCTAACAGAAGCGTTTATTTCAGAATACATATTTTGTAAAACCAACACCGATTTTCCATGAACGCCTTTTTTCATAACTGGAAACCATATCAAATTTGTATTAACCGAATCGAAAGCCCTTTTTTTAAATGCTCATAAACCAGAAAAATCATTCCCCAATTTTAGACAAATAATTTTGCTTTACCCAACTTAAGATTTTTTTAGGCTGCTTCAATCTCTCCTTGTGTAATATCAGAATTTATTAAGATATTGACATCGTCATCAGTACAACTATCACAAAGATCCTCGTTATGATTTTTGAAGAAAACCAACCTTCTACAAGCTCAATTGTATCACTGTTTACATAAATCGGTGAAATCGAAGACCTTCTGTAAATAATCGAACCAATTTCTATTACTAATTTGCAACCGAACACTCAACATTCATCTTATTAGTTATATTACGAATGTTTCTCCAAAATTGCTTACTATCCCTAGTACTATCAACCAGCTTGTGAAAACAAGACTCATCATACGCTTCTCGCTTCCTCTGACATAACGATCTATAACTATTTCTCAGTTTACAATACTCCGGTAGAACAGCCTAGTTCCCAGTCAATCTGAGCTTATCCAGTACACCAAACTTATTAACCTTCACTCTGTACACTCCTGTTCAAACTTCTTATCCACTGATCCACCACTAGACCTATTATCAAGAGACAATAGACCACACGAGACAGAACCACCCTCCATTCCAGTGAGCACTTCCACAGCAGAGTCAACACTTTTCTACAATATACAGTTCTACTGGTTCTAGATGATTTTGAAAGGGGTGTGACTAATCAATGAAAAAGAGATAGCTGGTAGACATGAAATTCCTCTGTCTACAGTATACAGAACTTTGAAGAATATTCAGTCAGGAGTTGGGATTGAGCACAACACAGGGAGGCCAATGAAGTTCAGTACTACGTATCGCTGGCGACTTCGTCAGGTTGAGATGATTACAGAGGAAGTCCTCGGGTATGTAATAAAACCCTTAGACAAGAATTACAAAGACTCACCTGGGTAAAAAAAGTGCGGATTTCCCTCACCATTGATGAATATGCACAATAGAAAAACGATTAAACTGGTGTAGGGCTCACGAAAATTAAGACTGGATAATGTTTTCTTTTCTGATGAAAGTTCTGTCTGTTTTTTTTCCGAACTGTGTGAACATTTGGACAAAAGATACCGTGAAACCTATCTACCAAAACCCGAAACATAGCCCGAAATTTCACATGTAGGGTGGGATATCATCACGTGGATTAAGGCCGTTGTGTATTTTCAATCGAAATTTGACGAAGGAACAATATGTTGACATCTTAATTAATCATAATAATAATAATTATAATGTTGTCAGTGGATGCCCTTCTTTGGCACAAACAGCATATCTGGAACGACATGATGGCATGGGTCGCTGCTTCTACTACCGTCTCCGCCAAGCCTGTGGCTTTGACTCTGAGTTCCATCCATGGTACAACCCTGAACATGTCCAGGGCATCATGGAAAATGCTGCTTTCAAACTTTTGTGGAATAGGCCCATATACAGCCTTAGAAGAACTCCTGCCAACATACTTGATCTTGTCCTTTTTGATAAAGCCAATGAATTAATTTATATCATTGAATTTTCTGTCCCTTTTAACAGAAAAAGCATGCTAATTATGCGGACCTCGCCTTTGAAATGTCTCGCTTGCACCCCAAGTACACTGTCGTCAGGCTCCCCATTGTTCTCGGTGCTCTTGGTTTGGTGACTACTGATCTCTTGGCGCAGTTCAGGAGAGTGCCCGGGTTTTTCACCGGGAGCACAGCCCTTCTGACACTCTGGGTAACGCAAAAAGGCTGAAGTGTTGTGGAGTCTACATATTCTCCGGAAAGTTCTTGGTGGGTTCGACAAGTCAGTGTTTCCTGGGAGAAGTCCCATTCGCTGTCTGGGCTGCAAGTAGAGGGGGGCAAGGGCCCAGAGCTGATGATGAGCCTTACCAGCCTGACTGTGCCAGTATCACGCGAACCCTCTCTGATGCATTTTTCACCTAATCTGTAAAACATAATAGTATTGATTTGTTTCCAACAGCCCGAACAATGTATGAAGATAATTCAACTTTCCAGCATGATAACCACACAAAACACACTGGGGGCTACACAAAACAGCGGTTGTCGGACAAAATGTTCAAGTGTTACACTGGCCCAGCTACACCCCAGATCTTAACCCTATTGAAAATGTGTGGGGACTAATGAAGGACAGAATAAACCAAAATGGACTTAGAAATATTGAGGATATGAAGAAAGAAGCGGTCCAATATTGGGATACGCTGTCACATTATTTCCTACAAACTTTGATCGGTAGTGTACTAGGCGCATTCAGCCGTGTATTGCGGGGCAAGTAAGTCTCACAATGTACTGAAACGACATTTAGACTGCAAGAGAATCATATCTCAACATAATCATTTAAGTAAAACTTCTATAGTTTATATACATCCATTAGATAGATGCCGAAACAACTTTCTAATTTCTGGGGATACTATACAAGTTAACTTATCCACATCAAGGGGTGTAAGAGACTGAGCAACATTACCCATATAATCGTCACTTATTTCCTTTCTTCAGACAAACCTAGGAATATCATAATGATACCTTTCCACGACTAACATTAATTGTAGTTATGATAGGAAAATGGTCTGATTCAGATCGGGTATCGACTTTAAAGTTTGTAATACGATGGAAAACGTTAATGTAACACAGCACAAAGTCAACAAGGCTTGCGCCTTTTTCCATAAAACATGTATATGCTCCAAGTTCGTCACCTGTGAATCGTCCAATACTGCAAATGTACAACACAAATCATTTTAGTCTCTCCCATAGTCATTACTCACGTCATCTCTGGGACTGGGAGTAGTGCTAACTGAATTTTCGTCATCGTCCATATCCTCAGAGCTTGATACCTGAATTACATCCGATTTAGATGGGGCACTTGCTGCGATTCCCAAAATTGGAATGAGGACTATTGCCACGAGGAAGTTCATTTTGCATTCACAGATACTGGAAAGAAATATGTAACTGGGGTATTTGAGCACATTTAACACATACTGATATCCTTTATAATATACAGTATATTTCTTTCATTTGAAGAAGGGTCAAATTATGCTCACTTTCTTCTTGGCACCAGGACACTTATACACCAGAGGCAAATTCATACCTTCAACTAACTCAGAATATTATATATTTGTTCAGTTTTGTTTAATACTTTGTGGAAATAATTCTAACAAATTCTATCAACCAGTATTACTCTGAAAAAGTAACTCAGTAAAAGTAAAAGCAGGTAAATGAAACCAACTCACATGTTCCGTGCACCTGTGCGGGAATGCTAGGACTGACTTTGGAACAACGGGACTGCAAAGTTATACTTGCGCATGACAGATCACGTGTTCATGTCATACACATAGTCCACTGTTTGACAATAGTCACGTGTACCCAATCACTTCCAATGACGTTTCTGAAGAAAGAGCGAACGAGGCACTATTTTTCGCAAAGATCAATTATTCAACACTGCGTTTGAGAGACCATGTGAATAAGGTCTAAAAGATATAGATAGTGAATATCAGACACATTAGTGGACGGAGACTCTGTCAAAAGCAGAATCCTTAAAGGTCGGGGTTCAAACCTTTTCACAAACGGGATGTGGCCACGTTGCCGTGTCAAAGTTGTCTTTCGATACAAAGCAAAGCAGTATTCAAGTACATTCCATGAAATATCACAGCATTGCGTTACCGGTTCATGATGATATTAAGCTATAGTAAAAAGAAGGACGTTATGAAGACTCACTGTAAAGAGTATTGATGCAGACTCAAAACATACACAATGAAAATATATTCCAGATTTGAATTTCCCCCTGTATCAGTCAGGTGGCCAGAGAAGGTGCATTTCCATTGCAACAAGTCTGCTAGCAAAGGCAGGCATACAGTGAAAATGACCCACTCTTCTTAACAACTGGTCAGGGTTTTCCACTAATTGGGTACTGACATCAACATGCTGAACATTTTTACGGTAAACAGTTCTTTGTATTGAAACTTTGTATTGTATTGAAATTAAAGGATTGTAGTAATGCTATACCACTTTGTACCTCTAACCCCCAAACTCTTAAATGCATTGAAGTATCTGACTGAAGTTTGTTTGAGTGAATGTATTAGAAACAGGTTTCAGAGAATATTAATATTTATGGATAAGTAGAATTTGATAAGTAGAATTTCATATACTGCTTATTAAATGGAGTCTGTCTGTTGTCTTCAAAATATGTAGAGAAAAGGGCATTTACTATATACATGTTTATTCTAATAGTAAATTCAAAGCTAACATTTGACAAAGCCAGGCTCTCGTCAAGCACCATAATACATACAAATCCTTATTTACAGATGGGTCCAAGGATGGTGGCGCGGTGGCATGCGCCACTGTCATTGGATCAGAACAATATCTTCTAGAATACCGGATAACAGCTCTATTTTTACAGCAGAAGCAAACGCCATATTAACGGCTCTTAAATATATTCAAAGACACACTAAACATAAACAATACATAATCTTTTCAGATTCTTTCGTGCCCTCAGGCTATTAAAAATCTTTCTTGTAAACATCCACTTTTATTAGAAATTATTGAATTGTATAATGAGCTTGCTACTGGCCAATGCGACATCGTCTTTTGTTGGTTACCCAGCCACGTTGGCATTTCTGGGAACACAATGGCTGATCTTGCTGCTAAGGCAGCACTCAACAAATCTGTGACACCACTTCTGATCCCATACTCTGATTACAAAGCTAGCATTAGAACCTACATCCGTGATCTGATGCAGAAGAAGTGGGACACCCAAGTAGGTATCAATAAATTACATGAAATAAAACCCTATATCGGTTACACTTACTTGGGTTGTCAGTCCAGATTTGAAAGGTCATCATACGACGATGTCGTATTGGCCACACAAGATATACGCATGAGTACCTATTAAAAGGTGAGGATCCTCCAGTTTTGTGTCCCTTGTGATGAACAAATCACGGTCAAGTATGTCTTGCTTGACTGTGTTGAGTACTCCATCACAAGGGGATATCTATTTCAAATCCCGAACTATGAAGGATCTTTTACTAATATAAGTCCTCATTTAATTATTGCTTTTTAAAAGAATTAAATTTGTTAACAGATTTGTAAATAGCTAAATATTTTATGATTGGAAGTTTGAATTAGTAAGACAGATTGTTAGTGGCTGTATCCTCGAGGGGGTTAAAGTACTGTAAAATTATTGTCCTCCTGAGAGGGTACGTAAGTCCCAAAACATTCAAAGTAAATTTCAACTTTCCGTTTTTTAATCGTAGAATATGTGTAATTTTAATGTATGGCTAGATATATCTCAATTGCTAACAGCTGAGGGGATGATGTAAATCCAGCTAGGGCCCATGCAGGAAGCAAATGTACTGTAAGTCCCCATGGTCCCTAGTGTGGTGATCTACCTTCAGTTGTTGGCAATCTATAGCCTGTTTTTATATTGTATTGTCATTTATAGTTCCAATATTTTAGATTTAATTGCTAGTTTTAAATGGATATCTGTGATACACTAGTAGTTTTACTGTTCTTCGTCAACAGGTTTTTAATGTCCTACTTTATTGATCTATAATATAATTATAAACTGTTCTCGTCACGATATGGCTGAAATATTGCCGATGTGACGATAAATATTAACTCACTCACTCACTCACTCGTCAGGCACCCACAGCCGTTCCATTCCTGTCACTTATGAGCAGATAACATCTACACTGCTGAGGAGTAATTGGAAACTCATGGGATTTGTAAAGTTTGAGCTCTGGCATTTAAGATAAGACCATGGAAACTTGTACAGCATGGCAATCAGGAAAATCTGTACAACAGAGCAGCTGTGCAATACTGCAGCACATATCAACACGCGATATAGATTTTACCAACATACATTGAAGCTGTGCACCCAATAACACAGAACTCTCATATACAGAATACGTGAAAGCACACTATGTAACTATGAGTTGTTTAAAGTCTTAAGTGGTTGTTATTAAGAAATATAAACGACATTAAGGAATGGCATGAGTCATTCATTATATACAGTGTAACTACTGAACAAGAAATCACGAAAGCTGATACTGGACAAAGTATTGGTATTTTATGATTGATATTTTGTTAGTGTGTCAATGAATAAATAGATCATCATTCATAGCTTCAAAATGTACAGGGGGCGGTGGGGTAGCCTAATGGTTAAAGCGTTGGCTCGTTACGCCGAAGAACCGGGTTCGAATCCCCACATGGGTACAATGTGTGAAGACCATTTCTGGTGTCCCCGCCGTGATGTTGCTGGAATATTGCTAAAAGCGGCGTAAAACCAAACTCAGTCAGTCAGTCAAAATGTACATATATCCTAACTATTTTTGTCCAGTATATATTGTTCATTATAATGGTAGTTTACAGAAATAAATGGAAGGTAATATGAAAATACAAACTACATGTTGGCAGCAAGTGGTTATTACTGTGATAGTGTTATCAGAATGTTTGCAGTTAGTGAAATTGTCATTTTCTAAATGCATGCTCAAAGGTGATTGAGTAAGCATTGGTGATAGAAATAATACTTTAAGAACTGGAAATTTCTTTCCAATAAGAAAGTAGGAGATGTTTCTGAGGAATATGTTCATAATAGTGAATTACAAAATATCAATGGCTGAAATAACAGGAGAAATAAAACAAAATCCACGAAGCCTCATGGAGCATAATATTATTACATGCAACATTTTGTTCGACAAGTTAAAGGCACTATTTCACACCACAATTCTCTAAAATATACATAACGCATTTCTCTCTATAATACTATCAGCCCTCACTGAAGCTGCCATATGATATATTTTAGAAAATCACGTATTTAGATGACAATAATAAATTAAACAGTTCGAATGAATTATGCAACGTTGCATTAAATCGACCCTCGCACCATCTACCGTCTGAACATTATTTCAAGCGAGGGGCGGTGGTGGGGTACCGTTGGCTCGTCACGCCGAGTTCGAATCCCCACATGGGCACACTGTGTGAAGCCCATTTCTGAGCCCGCCGTCTGGAATATTGCTACGGCGTAATACCAAACTCCTCAGTCAGTAACGAACCTCCCAGAGTTAAGTCCTTAGAGGCTCTTTACGAACTATAACTCCTTTGAGGCAGAACTGAGTCCTTGACAAAACATACTTGTGTAACTTGTGATCGAAGCCACTTTGGCAAACGCCGACAACACGGCGTGCAACAGTTTTTCATGTTCGGAGCAATTGTTTACATTCCAAGTGTTTTCTGTTTGGAAACTGTTCATCTCGAAGTTTCAATTATCGATTTCAGGCAAGTTGTAAGGGATATTGCATTAAAGGGGTCTAAAGTGAGTGTATATGCCCCAATATATATAATATAGGCCAAAATATTGTCGAAAATGTGTGACATTGTGTCTTTAAACACATCCGAAAGTACTACGGCATATAGAGGTTCGATTTTATCATTCTTGTTTGTTACACATACAGCAAGGTTTCGATGGAGACCTCCAGTCTGTTCTAGCTGGCGTGACTCTACCTTCACACCACAAAACACGTCAAAATATCATTTGATGTAATGTATGGTAATTTTCATGCAAATTACACTAGCGAAACTGTCTTATGACTTCAGCCTGTTGCCGGGGTAATTGATGGTGCATAAGCTACTCTCACTGATCTATCATCTCTACACGCATTGTCATTGAATAATCCCTACGATGCTGAGAGTTTCAATTATATATATTATTAAACATATCGTGAGTGTGACGGCGCGTGTATAGCAATCGCTAGTTTGTGCAGGCACATATTTAATATAAATTTTAACTGACTGAAAATGACGAAAAAATAGACGTGCTAGGGATCTAAGGGGTATTGTATCCTTCTCATGCATTTTATAGGACGGGAGTTGAAGCTATTCACAGCTTGAATGAGATACGACCCACACCATTGCAAAGGTCAATTCACGATAAGGCTATATGCCAGCTAATAGAGATCAAAGCCCTTTAATACACATCAGGGACACAATAAATTTAGCGAAAGTGGGTATGTCATATAATTCAATTACATTACGGAACATAGGTTCATTAAAGAAGTCACATAAGTCACAAGATGTGACTGGCAATTGGTGGAAACATGCAGATAAAGTCACCCTCACTCTACACACTCGTTTCAAACAAACCAAAATGGCGCTACCCAATCGTCAAACGTAAACCTCTATTTCCCCGTCTTCAGTGTGGGGAAGAATTGCACCGGTCTTCAAAGAAATACATTGGGTACCAATGGGATAGGGAATCATGTTCAAGCTACTGATACTCATTACAATACATGGGACGATCACAATCTGGTGTCAGGCCAAGATTTCTG